GTAACGGGATCACAACCCTCGGTGTTGCGCCCGCACCGCGCACAGCCAGTGAGCGGGAACCGGCCTCCACATGGGATCCGAACCCTCGGCGGGAGCGCTGCCATGCTCCCAAGCGGCGCACTCTCCAGTACGCCACCGGGCCGGCCCAGGACCCCAACTTTGAACAGAGCAAAGGAGAAGTCTGACACTAGTCTCCTCTTGGGCTGCTCTAGACGGCACTTCTGGTCTTGCCTTTCATGACTATTCTCACACATAAGAAACAGAAGCTTGAGAAAAGGAGCCCATGCTAAACCTTGTGCCCTGCCCCGGTTACCCATCTTGCACAGGGGAAGGATTTCACAGGCTCCGAGCAAGGCTCAGCAGCACCCCTGGGTCCTCCTGCGAGGACGAGGACACATGCCCAGTGTCTGATCACCAGGCCCCACAAAAGCCAGACTGAGGCACATCCTGCAAAGTAACTGCGCTGTCACATTGTCAAGGTCGTGAAGAGCAGAGAATGAAGAACCATCCAGAATAAAGGAGATCACAGGGCCATACAGGACCCCTGGGGCCTTAGCAGAGTGACTGAGAGAAAAGTGATGTGGAAAGATTCTCCCACCTAGGAATCTGGGTGAGGAGTCTACTTTTGCAACTTTTCAGTATATTATTTCAAAAGAACGATTTTTATTTTTTTTTTAATTTATTTTTTATTTTTTAAAAGATGACCGGTAAAGGGATCTTAACCCTTGACTTGGTGTTGTCAGCACCACGCTCACCCAGTGAGCAAACTGGCCATCCCTATATGGGATCCGAACCCGTGGCCTTGGTGTTATCAGCACCGCACTCTCCCGAGTGAGCCACAGGCCGGCCCCGAAAAGAAAGATTTTTAAAAATAAAAAAAGATATTACATTTAATTTAGAAATCCTAATTTTGGAAGAACTGACATCTGTCAGTGCTCCAGGCCTCCAGACCACAGCTGGCACCACCGTGTGCAAACTCTTTTTGCTCATATTTTACACCTATCTGCTTCTGTTTTTCAGGGGGACTTTGTGGTACTCCTGGTGCCGGTGCAGTTATACTGGTCCAACTTTTTGAGGCAACTAGGAAAGGCAACTCTGGCCACCCCATCTTCACAGCTTCATCTAAATAAATCAATTTTAAAAATTGTTTTTAAAATTACAACACAGCAGGAAAAAATCCCCATGCTTTGTAGGCAGTGGTGAGTTTACTATTTGCAATATGGTAAACAAGAATTTAAACTTCTAATTCAAGGGGCCAGCCCATGGCTCACTTGGGAGAGTGTGATGCTGATAACACCAAGGCCAAGGGTTCGGATTTCAAATAGGGATGGCCGGTTAGCTCACTTGGGAGAGCATGGTGCTGACAACACCAAGTCAAGGGTTAAGATCCCCTTACTGGTCATCTTTTAAAAATAAATAAATAAATAAACTTCTAATTCAATGTATTAATGAAAAAAAGGCAAAAAGGTCATCTCTATAGAGTAGAATTATGGTGTTTGTTTTCCCAGCTTAATCTTATCCAAATGTTCTTCTACGAAATGGACTACTTTTACTTAACTAGGAAAAAATATGTGCTGGATAAAACTTCCCTCCATTCAGATGCTTTCCTTACACAGTACCAAATGCCAAATTACTAGCAAATATCCACGTATAAGCCTTGTTGACAGAATATCCACTTGAGTTGCCTGAGATGAGTTGGGGGATGTTACCAGCAGTTTCTTTAAGGTTAAGAACACTTTAAGGCAAATAATTACTACTGATACTCACACATCTCTCAAACATTATTTTTCCTTGTATAAGCTAAGTGTGTGACCGTTGAAAGGAAAAGGTTCTTTAATGCCTGGGTGAGTGCAGCAGATGCGGCTGCTCTGCTCAATTCTCCCTCCGAGATTATGCTGGCCAACACGTATGCAGGCAGCGCCTCTGAGTAGCTCTGGTGTGCCCTGCGCATCCCAATCATCCCCCTTCAGCCCCAACACAGTCATCTGCCCATTTCCAACCTTCTTCTTTTCCAGTAGGATTTTTAAAACTTTTAATCAGAACCTGCACCATCTGGCGGGCAGGCAGTGATGCCCGGTGCCTGCCATCCACGGCTGCCCCAAGAAACCATCAAGGGCTGAGCCTTGACTCTGCGAAATCTGCCTCGCCACAATTCTCCAGCAACAGCACTTGGCTTGAAACCACCTGCCACGTCTGGCAACGCACTCACTTTACAGATGCGGACACTGCAGCCCAGAGAGGGGAAGAGGCTGGCGTGGGGAGGTGCAGCTCCTGGGGTTGTCACTCAAGGGCAGGGCTGTCACTCAAGCTGGAGTCTGTGGACCTCACCATCTCTAGTTACCATCACTTCCACAGAACCAGCCACCTGGTATCAGAACACACATGGAATCTCTCGCTGCAGTTATTATAGGCAAGTAGGAAACAGGGATGTTTGTTCTGCTCAAGGCTTTTTAAAAAACCCTGCAGTTTCTGTCTGCTCAGAAGGCGGCAGGCGGCTCAGGTTACCCATCTCTGACTAAGCCTTCCGAGCAGAGTGGCTGGAGACCGAGCTTCTGCTGACAGCTCACCCAGGAGCTGCTCTGCAACCCGACATGCCTGCAGCCTGTGACGTCCAGCTCTTGTGTTATCAGACACACACCCCTGTGATCACTAATCCCTGCCCAGAAAGAGAAGCTGACCAGCGGTCTTTTCCACAAAACTGAAAGTGAATATCTGCTTGATTCAATAAAGGAGCTAGGATGCCAAATGTGTACAGTATTTAGCCCTTTTCTTCAGTTGCAAAGGCCTGAGGTCTTTCCAAGGGAGCACTCTCAGCCTTAACCTGCTTCCTTCGTGGCACGAAGCTCTCTGTGCAGCTTCTCTATGTAGCTGGGGCAATGGTGGGTCTCAGCCTGCAGGCAATCTCTTTGCAGACCACAGGTATACCACTGGCACTTAGTCCAGCCTGAGCATAGGTGGAGGGCAGAAGCATGCTGTATTTGAGTGGCTGCATGTGAACTGCACAGAGCAGAGAGCCTAATCCATGCAGAGCTCATTTTTAAGCCAGAAGGATATAATTCTTAAGGTTATCCATCTTGATTTTCTCTTCTTAGTTCCTTCTCATCCACTATTTTGACCACACAGGTACAGCGTGAAATAAAAGAAACCCACCAGAAACCCCAGTCAGCCATCAAATAGCCACTAAGAAGAATCGGAGAAGTGGAGGGTGGTGCCCAACAAAAGGGAGGGAGCCACAGCCCACGTCCAGGATAAAGGAGCCCCAGGGCTCCAGACTTCTGAAGAGAGGCCCTCTGACACCATGCAGCAGCGTGACACAGAAGGAAGAGACCAGGCCAGGCACCAGGATTCACTCTGAGTGACCTTGGTCCAGCCCCTTCACTTCTTGGGGCCACTGCCCTCCCCAGTAAAATGCCTAGGGCTACTGAGCTCTCAATTCCTATGAGCTCCTGCATCTCCTTATGTTGAGAGCTTTACATCAGTTCTGGTAGAGCACGGGCATCCCAATCACTAGACAATAGCCTTTTGAAAGACACAAAACCTAAAAGCATGATAAATTACAGTGAACAGGAATGATACTGCTATTTTTTACAAACACACACACTTTAAACCAAACTAGGGCATAAACCATGCTGGTTTAAGAAAAAGCCGAAATACTAAAACAATCTTTTATTTCAATACTAAAGCCAAGAATGTGTTAAAACAAATAAATTGAAAAGGAATTTAAACTCATTTAATAATACACTCCCTATTCATAACTCAAAGAGCATTACCTAATTCCTACAATAACAGAATTTCTGGACTTAGAGATCATCTACGGCAATTCACTCCTTTGACGGACGGAAAACCAAAATCCAGAGTAGGCAGGCGATGTGTCCAAGGTCAGAGAGGCAAAGCAGGGATGGGAATCCACATTCCCTGAATCTGCCTCAGTCTGTTTATTTCCCACCAACGACAGGGCACACAGTTAGCACTGAACATTCGGTGGTGGTGAATGAATGGAAGTTGTGTTCCCTACCGCTCAGGTGGTCTAACTGGTTCACACATAAGCACTTTCCAGGTTATGAAGACATGGTAGAACACAATCGAATATTTCAAAGTTCTATCTTTAACTTCTCACAAGCCAGAGTGGAGTGTCTCAGCCTTATCCACATCAGCTAACAATCTTACCAACCGAGGGAACCAAAGAGCAAAGAAACCACTTTTAGAAACCTGCAGTCTTTTGCCTGGTGCCAGAGGAGTAACCTAAAGCAGCCTTTGTTAGGTGTTTATGTCAATCACCAAATTCACCGGTGTCACAGACTTCAAAAACACTGAATTAGGGACAAGGAAAAGGTCTTCTGACATCAGCAGACCTCTTGCCGCTGCAGAACTGTCAGAAAAATCAGAGATTCCTTCTCTTCAGGGTTTGGAACTGCAGCGAACAAGGCAGCAACTGGGGTCTGGGAAACGGGTTTGGCTAAACACACACAGGCACACACATGAGCAAAGAGAACCAACGTCTGGGCTGATGGGTGGACACGGGAGGGAGGGGGAGGCCTGGCCTGAGCACAGGGCCTGGGGACAACAGGCCAGGAGGGTGGCGGCGGCGGGTGGAGCAGGGGCTGGGGATTAGGGTGGGGGCCTGGGTCCGGGGTCGGGACTGCGGGCAGAGGCTAGGGCCGGGATCTAGGGTCCGGGGCCAGGCTCAGGCTTGGTGTCCGGGGTCGAGGGGCTGGGGCTCGGCTCAGGGGCTTGGGCTCTGGGGTTCAGGCTTGGGGCCGGGATCGGGATCCAGGGTCCTGGGGCTTGGCTCGAGCTCGGGTGCTGAGATCTGGGTCCAGGGTCCAGGACCTGGGCTCGAACTCGGGGGCTGGTATCGGGGTTCAGGGTCCGGGCTGGGCTCGGGGTTCAGGGTCTGGGGTCCGGGCTGGGGTTCGGGGGCTGGGCTCGGGCTCTGGGGCTCTGGGGCTGGGGTCGGGGCCCAGGGTCCGGGGTCCAGGCCCGGGGCCGGCGCTACGCACCTCCTCGGCCTGCTTGCGCAGCGCCTTCTCGCGCTCGTACTGGGTAAGCAGCTGCTCGTTGTCCTCGCGCAGCAGCTCCAGCTCCACCTCGTGCTCCTGGTTCTCGCTGAGCACCGAGTCCAGGTTCTCGAGCACGTTTACCACGAGCGGCATGAGCTCCTTGACCACCTCCTCGTCATAGCAGTGGATGAGACGCTCGAACTCGCGGTAGATGGAGCCCGCCAGGCCCGATACCCGCTCGGACATCACCGAGCCCGAGCAGTAGTCGTCCTGGTACACCACCACGCCGCCGCCCTCGTCCATCTGGATCTCCATCATCGCGGCCACCGCCGCAGCCAGCGCGGCCCGTGTCCGGCCGGCGCGCCCGGCCCGCTTGGCGTCCTGGTCCC